TCTCTCCAGTCTCTGGCTCTAATCCTAGTCGACAATAGCTGCCTCTTGTAAGTACCATTTTAATATTTAGCAGATTGAGAAAATGAGAAGGAGGACTATTATTACAATCATTCTTCCATCCTCCTGTAGTGAGTATTCTTAACTTTACTAATTACTTATCTGTATTATAGTTGGGAGAGCTAGAATAAGGTTTATGGGATAGGCTGCTTTGAACTCCACTTGTAGTTTACATTCTTTGTTATCAGCATACCACGCTTCTACAAAAACATGGCTTGTCTCAATAAAGCCACAACTGATATTAACGCTGTATACTTCATTCAAGCTCCTTCCCAATGTTTATAAAATAGAATTAAAATTTATCAGGTGGGCCTCACATACGTGCAGGCTTCTGCGTCGCCATCTCACCCGAAGTCTGAAGAGCTGATTAACAGCAAATGAATCCTAAGTGACTTGGTTCCACTGAGCTAATCATACTAAGTCTTAGCATGCTTGGTGAAGCTAGATAGCGTGCATATCTGAAGTAATGTGTTGAAGGCCACAGTTTCTACCTACCTTGGTCTGCTGTCCCTGCTATTGTGAACTTCCTCTCTCCACGCTGGTCCAGTTAATTCAGCCCTTGATGGCACTGAAGACTGTTTGAAAGCCAGCTGTTCCAATTAGCAAATTAGACAGCATAAACTAGTTTGTGTGTTTAATTTCCCATCTGTCCTCACTGTTAAATAACTGCCTTAAATGATATTTTAATTGTATGATATGAATTAATATGATTAGTTTTGATCAGTATATATATATCCATTTTTGAGAAGGGATTTTTTTGGTTCATTTTATTTCTGAATTTTTTTGCATGTAAAATACAGCTTTGAGAGAGAAACAATCTCACAAATATCCATTTAAATGACTTAAATATGTGGCCTTAATCAGTTAGGCAAGATTTTTAAAAACTGAGGTCTTTTAATTTTAAAACATCCATCTTCCACAAGCTGGTGTCCTCTCCATGGATGAGTCTACAATATACAGAATCCTCAGCCTTCATGGCCACTGAATTTATTGACTGAGAAAGATAATTGTTGATTAACATGCTGATCACACTAGATAGGAAAAGCTGTCAAAACTAGGTGGGGGCGGTCAGTTGTTCCATCTACCCCCTTCCTCCTCTTTCCCCTCCCCATCTAGCTCATTAAAGTATGCCTTTCTTCCCAAGGAAGGAATGTATATACACCATCTAAATATCAAGTTTTCTTAAAAATAAATTGGTTTAAATTGTTTAT